ATCATAAGGTCCCGGGTTCGAATACTGGGCTGGACCAAAATCACTAATTGTGTCAAGAAATTTTCAGTTGCAGCCCAAAGTTAAGAAGTTGGTGGAGTTTGGTATTGCTTTAGTATCCTGCGGCACGGGGAGAGGGTGAAGGGTAAGGGTGACCATCACATTGCACTTTCTCCCTCCCATGTAATTTTAGTCTTTTATTATACATTTTTAAAGGTATACATCAAAAATCAAAATTTAAAGTTAAACATTAGAAACGAAATAAGATGCCTTAATAGGGTTTGAGAGGGTGGGTGCAAGGGAGAAACGGTCTCACTTCCCACCAAGTCTCTCCATAGGAGATGCATCATTTTAAAAAAATCTGAATGATTCATATTTCCTTGTGAAAAGCCACTAATGGTGTGCATGTGAGTATTATTGTACATTGGGTTAATCAATAACAAAATCAAGCCACACCCACGCTTGTGTTACACCCCATACCTCAATAAACACTCCACAGCTGTTGGCCCTGTGGCAGACCACTCTCCGGTCATTGCATTGTCATCCCATCTGCCTATGAGAGTTGGGAAATAGAGACTAGAGAGTGTAGCTTTGTTTGTGCTTACACTCATGCACTATAAATCCTGGCTTGCACAATGGCCAAAATTCAATCTGGCGGACATTAATCATAAATCCGCATAGAAAATATTGATTAAAAATTAATAGAATAGTGATTAAAAATTCCTACAGTGACGGTGTTATAGGATGAAAAGTGTGGGCAATTTTTTTTTATAGTATAGTGTGACAAACGAGCACACAGTCCACCTGATGGTAAGTGGTTGCTGCGGCCCATAGACATCTACATTTATCCTCAACAAAGAATCAAAATGCAGATGCGTCGTCACCCGTGAGGACTAAGATGGAATGCCTCTTTTCCAGTAAAATGGGTCTCCGGTCTTCTACGCTCTCCATACGAAACAGCAGTGTCAAGCTGCTATTTTACAGTGGTATTCTGTGAGATTCGTCCTTCACCGTTCGAGCCGACCCATTCGTGCTACAACTATACTACTAATATAGCTGCAGCATGGCTCTACCACGTTGAAAACATTATTAAAATGAGTTAACATTAAAGCAAAAAAAGATACTATTAAATTGACGATTTTTGAGATTTCATTAAAAACATCTAGCTTTGCCATGTAGTAGTGGCATAAGAATTTCCATAACCCCATAGTATCACATGGATGCCGTAAGAGACGAGGCTAGGAGAGAAACTGAAACGGAATATGGGAAACAGCATCTTCCAGGTAACAATTAAAAATAAAAATAAACTGTGTGACCAATTTTTAGCATTAGACTTGCAAGAGGCTGTAATGCATGATAAATGAATTAATAAATATAACATCTTTTTTTATAGGATAGGGTGACAAACGAGCACACAGTCCACCTGATGGTAAGTGGTTGCTGTGACCCATAGACATCTACATCTATCCTCGTTTGCGAATCAAAATGCAGATGCGTTGTCACCCGTAAGGACTAAGATGGAATGCCTCTTTTCCAGTAAATAGGGTTTCCGGTTCTCTACACTCACCATACGAAACACAGCAGCATTAAGCTGCTATTTTACGCTGGTATTCTGTGAGAGCGTGGTCCTTCCCCGGTCGAGCTGACCCATTTGTGTTACAATTATACCCGAAATATAACTGCAGCATAGCTCTACCATGATAGATTTTTAATCTTAGTAAGGCCTTAAAATATTAAAGTAAGTAAATTGTGACTTTTATGTACAAGAGCCTGATTATTACTTATACATTGTTATCACAAATAATAGTAAAATTATTAAGCAATACTTTTTTATGTATAATCCATTTTTTAATAAATATTTAGAAGATTGTTTTAAAACAATCCAACTCCAAATATAAAGAAGTTCAATTCAACTATGGTTTTATTGGTTGCATGTGATGCACAGTATTACCTCGGAGATAAAAAAATAGATTTAACTATTTTTTTTTTTTATTTACAGATAGATAGTAGTGCCATAAAAATTTCAACTAAATCCAATGCTAAATGAAATCACTTCAAAGTTTTTTTATAATTCTTTTTACAAATCCATAGTAGTGACTGGTGGCTTTATTTACAATATGAATATTCATTCATAAATTCCTTAGCTGTGCCTCAGTCAGTGAAATAATTAACAAAATGGGAATGGCCCATGTCAAGCAGTATACTGTTACTGGCTGATAATGAGGAAGAAATTTTTGATAAAACCTATTTTATCTGTTAACAAACATTATTTCAAGTAATATAGATAAGATGGCCTTGAATGTAGTCTTCAGAGATTGTCAAATTGGTGTCTTTAAAGTATTTAATTATTTGCATTTGATGAAAATAGCATGTCTTGATGAAATGTAATAATCTTTTAAAGGATTTAGCTGATTGTAACATTGTTTTATTTGGCTCTTACTCTGATGAAACAAAATTAATGGTTAAGGTTTAACCAACAACATAACAATATCTTCATAGTCATCATTACAGCTCTTCACAAGTCCACTGCTGAACATAGGCCTCCCCCAAAGTATGCCACAAAGCATGGTCCTGAGCCACCTGCATCCATCGACTTCCTGCATGTCTTACCAGGTCGTCACTCCAACCCGCTCGCCAAACGTGACAGTTATGGCAATATATATATATAGTATAACTATAATATATATATATATAGTATAACTATAAATATATATATATATATATAGTATAGTAATAACCCCCCATTACAAAAGTTACAATTATCTGTCAAATTAGATGGTTATTTTTTTATGTTTATTAGAAATTATTTTATTTAGTTAATTATGATTATGAAAAGAGCACCACAATTGCATTTTGATTACACTCTAAAACTAAACAATATACACAATATTTGACGGCTCCGTGGTGCAGAATTCCACATGGAACAAGTATTTGTATGGCCTACTAATAATTGTTCTGGGTCTGGATGTTTGCCCTTGTGAAATTTATGTATGTAAACTTATGCCCCCAAGTTACAGGCGAAAATACTAGTATGTAGGTAATGTTTAAAAAAAAAAGATATAAAAAATAGCTTCATAGAAACCTAGACCACTTTAAACTAATTTTAAATTTAAGTAAAAACTGTATATTTTAAGTTGAAATATTTTTTTTTTTTTATATGATAGGGTGACAAACGAGCACACAGTCCACCTGATGGTAAGTGGTTGCTGCGGCCCATAGACATCTACATCTATCCTCTATTACAAATCAAAATGTAGATGCGTTGTCACCCGTGAGGACTAAGATGGAATGCCTCATTTCCAGTAAAAAGGGCCTCCGGCCACCTGCACTCACCAAGCGAAACGCAGAGGTAAACCTCTACTTCACGCTGGTTTTCTGTGAGGTCGTGGTACCACCCCGGTTCGAGCCGGCCCATCCGTGCGACAGCTAAAGCTGCCGCGTGGCTCTACCACTGTTACATTATATATTTTTTTAATATTTAATTTTATGAAATATTTAAAATCTATCAAGTAATCAGTACTAGTCCTGTGTTTTTAGAATTTACTACAAAAAATAACAAAAAGATATACTGGTATTCAATAAAGTAAAATGTGTCGCATACTTAAATGCATTAGTTTTTTTGCAAAAAAGCAATAGTTTTCTATTATTCTTTTGAGAATTTCCTAAGTTTGTCTTATAATTACTTTGTATCTCTAGCCACTAAAAACTTATTCTTGTTTTTACATAATGTTAATATCCATTTGTACCAACCATTAATGCATAGGTTTATAGTAAGCATAACTTTTGTTTGTTCTATGTATATTTAACAAAAAAATTACTGCATCTATTTTATATTATTGATGGACTTGCTACCATTAATAATTTAAAATATTCAATCACCATGTTATTTAATATTAGTCACAGGTTTAAGCTACAGTATGTTTAAATAAAGAAATCCCGTTGAAAATATGTCAAGTAAAACGTGTCACATACTTAAATGCATTAGTTTTTTTGCAAAAAAGCAATAGTTTTCTATTATTCTTATGAGAATTTCCTAAGTTTGTCTTATAATAACTTTGTATCTCTAGCCACTAAAAACTGATTCTTGTTTTTACATAATGTTAATATCCATTTATGGAATTTGACAGTAAAAGTCAAATTTATGAAGACTGTTGTGCCAGGACTAAGGGACTTTTTTTTTGGCAAATACTCTTTTTTAAATGTGAGACTTTTAATAAACTACATTCTGTAATAAGACCGTAAGTGTGTGGACACGTAACACAGAAATGTTCCGGGTTGAGGGTTTTAATCCTTCACAGATGAAGTATGGCTTACAACTGCCTTGTTGATCTACTGGTTCTAGTAGTACGACTGCTGATCATGACGTCCCATGTTTGAATCCCGGGTCAGGCCAAAACATCAGTTTGAGCTTTTCTATCAATAAATTCTCAGTTGATGCCTGGAGTCAGAAAGTTGGCAGTGTCTCACCACCGTGACTCGGAAAGCACATAAAGCCGTTGGTCCTGTGCCTGATCTATCTCTGGTCGTGTTTGTTTACTGTACTATTGGACTATGAGAGTAAAGGACAAACATCCAGACCCAGAATAATTATTTGTAAGCCAATGCAAATACTTGTTCCGTGCAGGATTTGAACCTGCGGCCTTTGGCGCTGCAACTCATTGATAAGCCACTGCGCCACGGAACCGTCAAATATTGTCTATTAACTAACTGTTTTAATGGATATTACGAAAATGTGCATGTAATTGGGTACAGACCTACAAAGAGAAACTTTACAAAGAGAACTTTTAAACATAAGTAGGTTAAATAATAGTATACTACTTATTTTTAATACTGTACTAAATTTCTGCACTACATCAATAAAGAAGTTTCACTTCAAAAATATACAAACATCTACATAACTCAAGAAGTAAACTAACAGAAATTAGATTATTTAATTTATTTCTTAGTCATTGAAGAAGATTTACCTAAATTAAGTTTTAATTTTCGATAAGAAATTAGCATACCTGTAATGTGTATTGTATTCCATTTACTTCTGTCGTCTTATTCATAAATTCCACACCAATTGTGTGAAAATTGTGGTCATCGAAATGATTTGAGATAAATCTGCTCATCAAACATGATTTTCCTACACCACCATCTCCCAAAATTACAATTTTAAGAAGAACGTTCTTTTTGGTGTTCCTGCCATAATCACGTTCATTATCCTCTACCATTGTTTGGTATTTACCATAATAGTTCGCTAATTGTACTTATTGATAGGACCTTGAGAACGAATAAACTCGCTTTTAATGAGACGTCTTCTAAAAGATCTGCGTAAATTATCACTTCAACTCCTTTGCAAGCTAATATTTAATAGACACAAAAGATTGTAGGGTGTTGCGAAAGTTGATATTACAAATACGACTACCACGTAACTTAAATATTATTAGTTTAAATTTTTATGAATAAAATAAACAGCATATCAAAGAGAATACAGCTGTTTCCGTTTGACAATACGTTTTGACTTTAACTGTTTGACATTATAATTTTGTTTGACGATTGCATTTTTTTTCAATCAAGTACAGATTATAAAGTGACAGTAGGATTATTTTTAATTAAGCATACTTTTAATATTTTTTCTGTTGGTATTATTAGTAATTATTTAACATATCTATTATTTATTTTAGGTGTTATTCGTGAAAATAAAAGTAATGGTGTTAAGTAAAATATAATATTAAATACATACTGTAATGCTTTTTATATCCGCTAGATGTCAATCATAGCCTTTGTTGTCGTTGTTCCCGTTGTTACTCGCGAGATGTCAGTTCACGTTCATATAGTAAGTAAATTTTTATTTTATTCCGCTTTGTTTTGCGGAGGTGAGAGGACATGGTGAAGTTGATTTCGTGTTCACACGTTGTGATCAATGTTTTCCTATTTAAAAGGTATTTTTTGAGTGAACAATAAATTTATATGCATAAATAAGTGTTCAAATATTAGAATTTTAATAGTGTATGTGTTTGCTACGTTAGAAAACAGCTTCATTTGCACAATTATTCTGGAGACTCGATGTCAATAAACTTGTCGGTGATATTTTATGGGAAAGGTGTGCCGCGTCGTCCCTGGACCTGTTAGCGACGGGAGGATTTTTGAGGTCGGAGTGATGGCGAAGGTTGGTGGCGCCTGAGTGGGTGCTACCATGGTGTTGTGGACATAAGCGAGGTGAGTGGCATTGGGAGGCGTTCTGGGGCGCGACAAGGCAGCGGGCGGGGCGCGGGGCGTTTAGAGCACGGACAGCGTGCATTCACCTCTGACCCGCGCGCGGGGCGAGCGGCACTCAAGGTCGGTGCGCCGCCTGAAGGTCGCTGGTCACGTGACAAAGGGTGCTCACCCCCGCGCGTCCGTTCCTCGCGTCTTACTCTGAGCCCTACGTTTGTTTGGATTAACAATCAAGTAGTCAAGTGAATTGATAAATTGAGTAAACAACACTTAATTACTTTTTGACTTCTGAGTAGTTGTAAAATTTGTATCAGTATTGAGACACTGTATGCATTAGATTGTACAAACGTCGAGTTGATTACTAAAAATTTACAAAAATATGCTCATCGTGATTACAATACTTGTGTAAATAAAACGATGGATTATTATAAAATTCAATTTTTTTGGAGATTTGCAAAACACGCAAAGGCGACCTTGTTTCTATTGTTTTAATGATAATTTCTTGTATATCCTATTTTCATGTACTTCCATGAAAATATGATACACAAGAAATAGGAATAATATTATGAGTAGAAAAAATTAATATGTGTATTGAATCTAGCACGTAGCACGTAGCTACTTTGGTACTATGTGGAACGTGTGTATTGTTTCTTTTTTTAATAATGAGTTGAAATTAGTGAGAAATGAACTAACAACCGATGGTTTTTCTCATTAATTCACCATGGGTTATATAATATATACCTGAACTGGTTTATATGTTTGATCTTTGTTGATCGATGATTTCCTTTTCATATAAGAATCTATAATAGTTCATACACGTTTAGGTATAAGTGGGAATAAACCAGAAGTTTTTCCAAGTGCTAATCTCACTTGGCATTTTGCATCCTACTTATGAACGAACAGTTCAAGCAACATTACAAATGCTTAAAAAATCTATATAGATAATATACCCGACACAAATCCCACAGTTAGTATCGGGGGCAGCATGTATCAGTAAGAAAGTGCGGCTCTGCTGGTTAAGAAGAAAAAGGATAGATACACAGAGGCCTTCAAACAGATTTTGCTTGGTACCTATTATAGTATACAGCGAGGTTAGCGCGTTAAATATTAATAAAAAAATATCTATGTCAAAAAAGCAGATTGATCTGTTATTGATCAATCACTGCAATAAGAGTTACAAAAGCATTTTCTACATCTTGTATTTTTTTATTAATATCCTGAAATTTTTTACTATTTCAAGTTGATTGGATTCACAGAAAAATCAATAAATAATAATTAGGTTGATTGTCTAAGTTTAAATAAGTAACTATACCGAATCATATAAATACTTTTAGGTATGATAATAAGTCTTAATCGTGCGGTGTATATAAAAATATCTTTAAACCAGATGTTACCAAAATTTGTAATAATTTCTCATAATATTTGCTCAATTTCACCATCGCACATCGCGACAAAACTCACGATACCATCCATACCATCTGTATGCTTGGTGTTCCACCATTGTGCGATTTACAAGAGATTTTCTTCCTCGCACAACTTCCTTGTGCAATCGACCACCACCAGTGATGTTTCCGGACCGATACGACATAGGAACCTTCAAGAAAAGAGCCTAATACTTTTCAAAAGGCTGCCAACGCATCTGCAATTCCCTTGGTGTACCATCAGGTGAGCCGCATGCTCGTTTGACCCCTCTCCTATAAAATTATAATAATAATATAGTAAATTTATTTTGTACTGTAGAAAGTATTTTGTACTGTAGAAAGCATTGCTTAGCTCTCGCGAAATATGGAAAAATGGCAATTCAACAATCTTCAATCTTCAATTGTCTACAGTAGGTAAATAAGTACGTTAAAAATTAATAAAAGTTTAAGGTGTTATGATTCGCTACGTTTAAAAAACAATTCTTCATTAAATATTAACTTAAAAATCGAGTCATTATGCGGCTCGACTTCGTTCATGAACACAATAACAATATGAAAATATTTAATATTCACTAGTAAATAGTCTCATCAGTCACAACCACATAGTACCTTCTATGATTACGTTTTGTCCCCGATTTTTAATCAAAATTTTATGACTTATCATGTTTTTTTTTAACATATTCAAAGTTTTTTTTTTTTCCTTTAATTACGTACACTCTATGGACGTGTAGGAAGAGACTACGGACTTCCATTTGGCACGATCCTGACACACCTCTCTCGTTTGACATCTCACACCTCTTTGAAATCTATAAAGTAGTGATCAAAATCAGTTATAATGGTGTTCTTAATCTGACCCATCTTTAATATATCGCCAATGTCGTCAGTAAACTTTCGTCTAGGGTGTCCTATGCTGATCCTGGTACTCACTTCTGCAGCATTTTGTTTCGCCTTGCCTTTCATTGCAGAAGCAATATACGATTATCTAGACATAGGCTATTTAAAGGATGTGGCATGCAATGTTGGGAAGATTTGTCCATACTCTCCATTCTGGGAATGTGTGATGATGCTACCCTTCACCATCAGTTAGTGAAGTTAGTGTAGGCGACACACACAGATGTATTTTCAGCCATAAGCGGGGTGCATTGCGTGCTCACTGGCAGTGGGCGTTTAAAGACAAATATTAGGTATAACATTCTGATTTAGATATTGGAAGTTACATTTTAAATTCACTTAAAAATTATCGAAATAATATTGGTTTAAGGTGATTTATACCTTGAAACTTCTCACACAATATAAATGTTAAAGTGATATTCAAATTGCTGTTTTTGTAGATTTTCATTACCTACGTTTTATACAGATTACACATTACCTATTCGTTAATAAAAATAACTAGGTTGTAATTCGAACTGCATAATTATTCTAATTTAAATTATTAGCGACAATAAGTTTAGAACGTTATATTACGCTGTAGGCCGACCGCATCCGCGAATTGCGAAATGAATGTTCAAACACATCTTTGAGAATCACATTGTTTGTTCTTAAGCGGATGGAATTGATTAGCCCCCGGCTAATCAACATCATTGCATTTAACTATTGATTTTACTGTATTACAGTGTATCATCTGGCACTAGCGTCTAGCGTGGTATTTATTTTTCTCGTTAAATTTTTTGTTATTTGTATATTTTATAAATTATGTTTTATTCTAATATATGTATATACTTAAAAACATAATTTCACACTCTTTGTTTAAAGTTTGTTGTACATAATAATCACTTACTGTAAGATAGACTGAATAATAGGAAGGTAGTTACCTCGTTTGTCATGTATTATAAAATATAAAAAAAATTACACATAATATTTTATGTGTAGTTGTGTCACCAAATTAAAGAATTAAGAATTGTTATATATTTTATTCTCCCTGTTGAGTATTCAACTGCAAGATAATTGTGGAGCATTTTATAAATATAATTGTAATGCATATCGCGGTCACGACCTCGAATTTTATTTGGGCACAAATAGAATTGTTTTGACGATCTCTTGGCATTTTGTCGCTGCCTTGATACAAATTCGAGAATAGTTGATTGCAGTATTAGATTATAAAATTTATATTGTCTGCAACAAAAATTTACCGATGTACCACCAATAGTCGCACTGGCGTTTTATTTGGACTATAAAAACTATTTAATGCGTTCTATATAAAAAATGGCATGTAGTATTAAAAACAGTTCGAGTTGTGCGCGACTGTACTCTCACTGCTTTCACGTTTGGCTGTGTGAGTGTGGCTTGGTGTTGGTGTGCGTCGCGGCCGGTGACCTTGCTATCAGGCGGAAGCGTGCGGACGCGTGAGTCAGCGCGCGTCTGCCGCCGAGTTCGAGGGAGCAGAGACCTTCGCGTTGTCTATTCGTACCTAGTTTTATCGCATAGTATAAACTAGATAAATGTCTGTGTTTTATTGCGATGTTGTCACACGTCATAAATACTAATATGAAATGTATTACAATAAGCGCTTATTTTGTATTGGTTACCGCCCTGATTTCCTAGGCTAAGTACTTCTTGCTATACCTATTAATTGTATTTTAATAACTATCAAAATA